TCTCTTAAGCTTCTATGTGTGAGATTGTTACCAGAACTTAAAAACATCAAACAATAACTGCGTTTTCAAGTTCTTCGATTTCATACCCTTTATAATAGAGCCAATTTCTGACTTCACAATATAAGTCGTTGGTAAATGATCCTAAATAACTTGTACACACACACACACACACATATATATATATATATATATATATATATATATATATATATATTTTTTTTTTTTTTTTTTTTTTTTTTTTTTTTACTTCCCTCCGTATTCTGAAGGTCCTTAAACGCCTTTAGGATCTGTCACATCTATTTAAAGGCCAGGGTTATCATCCAGCGGACGGCCGTTGGCACCTGTATTAATCACTGTACTCGTAGAGATAGCTCATGCTCTTTTAAGTCCATCATATGATGTACTGGCTCCGCGGTGTAGACCTACTATCTTTATTCGGTCCGGAATTCCTAAACTTCTCATGACCCACCAGCCGGATCGTCCTTTATATCTAATATCTAATGTCCTTTTATTAATAATGCCCTCTTATTAATCCTGTTAGCGTCATTTATTGATGGATTGCCTTATCTGGTCGTCCCGACCCGTGGTTATGCCGGTGGACTGCATTCTTACGTATGGATCTTGTTCTTTTCTCAAACGGAAATTCCTCCGAAGATTATTTCCAATCGCGGTCCTGGCGAAGTTGTTGTCACCCAGTGGAACCAGAACTTGCGACCTTGAGATTGTGGCCCGGGAACGCTAACCACTACACTATCGATCCACGGGTCAAACTTGTATATCCAAATAATGACCTTTGGTGAATTGGAAGAGCAATGTTAAACGGAATTAGTTGCACTTGCTCTTCAGCGTTTATAAATCGAAAGAGCACTCTTATGAGCCGTACATCCTTAAACCGATATATTGCTTCGTTCCATAAGATTGGTACAGTAATTCTACAACATCAACGATTCACGAAAAATAGATTTTAATACTTCTCATTCGGTAGTTGAATCATGTTGAAAAAGATCGAGTGAGGAAATCCATCATACTGATCATTTCGCTTTAATACCAATGCCCTACAATAATTCTGAATAATTGAACGATTAGACAATCAATTTATTAACAAAGACAATTAACTATTCAAATTTTTTTTTGCCCATTTAATATGCTTTTGAACATACCCTTCAACGAGCATTGGTGCTGTCCCTGCACTTTTTTTATAGCTAAATAGTTCGTGAACCTATTACATAGACCCGGACTACTTTTATTAAAAAATTGGCATGTTAATGTTGAAGTGTCCTTGGTTACTTACCAGGCCAAGATCCTAGAGATTCCAAAGTGCATTCTTTGGGGGTGCCTCCTGCGCTTCTGGTCGTCTATACTTCCATTTTTTTTTTAGTTTGGAGTATCGTAAACTTCGGGAGGTTACATTTTCTTGTGTATTGTATTTTATATCTCGTAATTATTGACTTATCGATTATTAAAAAAAAAAATTGCGGATAGCGAAGTTCAAGGTACCACCAAAAAAAAAAAAAAAGAAGGGGTCTCTTAAAAGCAGATTTCATATTCCGATTTACATACTGCATAAATTGTATTATTGATATCTAAATTACCTATTAACCATAAATGTATTAAAAAAGGTAATATGAAAACATCAAAAACGTAACTTTTTCAACCAAAAAAAAGAAATTCTGCAAGTAATATATAGACTTTCGGTAAAATCTATGTTGATTGATGTTCTACCAACAGTAGAAACCGTTGATGTTACACGACTGGTCCCGCAACAACATATAAAAAAATTATTTTTACAATATTCGATCATCCCGCTACGTAGTACATGTTATGATTAGAATCCAGCACCATTTTTATTATAATAAAAGGTGTTGGATTATAATCATAACATGTACTAGAGGTATTGTAAAATAATTTTTTTATATGTTGCACACCGGGTGAAGGATCAGTCGTATAACATCAACGGTCTCTCCTGTATATTCTACCAACTTGATAATTTAAAAAATTTTAACGTTAATCAATTAATCATCTAGTTGAAATTATTCATCCTAGTTTTGTCCTAACAAAAATTCGACTGGAAAACCAATAATTTGACTTAGCCGATTTTTTCCAGGATCATTGTACGTAAATAGCATTATAGAATTTTATTCTCATTACTGCATTACTAACATTTTTAATAAATACTAGATACACTTTAGTTGTGCAATTTTTACTACATATTGATAGTGTAGTTAAAAAATTTATGTCATAATACTATATTATATTATATTATTTTACACATGTTACACGATATAATTTTACTTTATTTTTGTGCCTCAAATTGAAAGATATTGATATTATTTGACCAAAATTAACAAATCAGAACTCTAAATCCTCCACTTTAACTGTAGCTTATTTAAAGAACATTTTCGAACTTCTTCTTAAATGTGATTTTTTAACGATTGAATAATATGCGAAAATTATATCGTAAATTTAGTTCTTATACGATTTTAGATGAAGATATTCAATTCTGACATTAAAATAAGTTATAATAAATAAGAAACAAACCCAAATAATATAATCAATCAATCTTATAATTCAAATCGTTCTTGAAAGTCATTATCGTTATTGTAAATCTGCAAACGAGATTGAAAAGGATAAACATCATGAATTCAGCAAAAATTGAGAATGCTGATGGAATATTTACACTTGGATTTGAGTTCAACAGGACGAACGTAAGTCATTCGTTATCGACTAATAAACAAATAGTGCCATACATTGCTAACCAAATGAAATTTGAGGTTGAGAAGGACGTATATAAGGCTTTTATGTAGTATCAACAGTCTGCAGAGATAGGGATACTGGTGGAATTAATAACGTTGTTATTGTTATGGAAGTGGAATTGGTGTTGAAAAGGGCGAATATAGAAACTCATCAAAAATCTGCAGAGGTGATGACGCTTATATAACATATATTTTGTTAATAAAATCATTAAAGAAATATTTAATCATTATACCGAAGTTTCCATTCAACACTCATTAATAACAATTAAAAAACGGAAGTCCTGCTAATACTTATCCTTATCCAAACATATGCACTCAACGAAACGCCAAGTTAAGGTTTGATATGACATTATCAATTCTGCTTACAAGTTCAAAATGATCCTATGATTCAAATTGTTCTTGATCTTTATGGTAAATGGGTTGCAATAATTTGAAACGCTATCGTTTGGAGTCGAAAAGGATGAACATAAGGCACTCAATTATTATCAAAAATCTGCAAAGACGGAAGAATTTTATGAACGTATTGAGATTTTCTTCATAAGTCGTTGAAGGAATGTGTTATTATGATAAAGAAATTCCTATTTAACTCTAGATGCATTAGAACAATATCTGTTAGAAAAAAAAAATTTAAAATCTTATTAATACCTTCACTTTACAGTGTATTATCACGTTACCTCAATTTTTCATGGAACGATAGCCCGAAATCGAGCCCATAATATATACAACAACCAGACTAAGGAAATGCAAAAGAATCATCGAATAACAGTGCCGATGACTCTGAAAAGTCGAATGTCAATCCCCTATAGGAACGTTAGATCCAAGCACCACTGAGTTATTGACGCAGATCCTATACGTAGAATAAAAACAATTTACTCGATTTAGACTGACAGTTGTCAAGGTAATATTACCTTGTTGAGTTAAGTGTATAAACATGAAAAGTGAGAAAAAAAAATATTGAATGAATGATTGTTAATGGGTAATGAGCGATGGTGCAATAATAATGGTGTGAACATTTTTTCTTCCAACTTGCCATTTTTTTTTCCTTTTCACAATGCTCTAATGATGGAGACTTTGTGTCAGGGGTAGGGAGTTAGTTCAAATAGGTGAGACGACCTAGATTCAATGACAAGAAGTTTCGATTTTGTTCGTGTTCTTTTCCTGTATTGTCATTATAAATAAGAGGTGGATTTTCTCTTATAGCAGTAGTAATTTATGCCTTACAAAATTGTTCGTCAATAAAAACTCTAAAAATTCACTAAAGCCAAAATCGTTCTTTAAAAACCTATTTACTTACCTCTGTAACGTGCTCGATAGTCACCTTAGACCTTGCCAAATTGTATCTATCTCATCCTCTCTGTCGATCATGTTACGCGGTATACATAAAATAATTTGTTGCATTTTCCTTTTTTTTTTGTTGATATGTTTTTGGTCGAAATTTCCAGTGATAATAGGCGCTCACCTTAATTCTAACGAAACTCTAAATTAGATTTTGATCTGATATAACTTTAATCTAATGGATCAAATTATCAATTTTTGCTTAACGAGATCAAAATGATCATATCGGCCAGAATTTGGAATATTTACATTTGGTATCTATCATATTAATGGGATCGGAGTCGAAAAAGAGAGAATTTTATGGAATATGTGGATCTGAGATTTTCTTAATGAAATCGTTGAAGAGATGTGTATCTTTGTGAGGAAGAAATTATTATTCAATTCTAGAAGCATTAGAATATGTGGTATATAAAAAACAATTAAACCCATTAAAATCCTGCTAATACCTACCCTTACTTTGACATATGTACCCACCCAATTGAAAAGAATGTACATAAGGCATTGGTGCTGAAAAAGGATTTTGAAAATGTTGATGGCTCAATTTTAGGTTTATTTCGCATCTCTTTATCATAAAATATTATTTTGACTAGGTGCAAGCTGCCATGCGATAGCCTATGACACTAGCATCACCTATCTAAAAAAAATTTCGCTACGAGCGTTAGGGTGTTTTATTGATTTGGTTTTATATTATACCTGATTTTGAAATTTAATTTACTTGATATTCAAGTTTTTTTAGGTTGATTATACTAGGAACAGCTTCATGTTAAAGAAAAAATAAATGGAGAGACTTGGCGTTATTACAAAATAAAAAAATAATTTTGCACATCGATACGTATAGAATATAATTTATAAATTGGACAATCTGGTAACACAAATATCGGTTTTAAAATGAGATTTAATGCAAAAAGATAATTATACCGGTATGGACCAGAGATTTAGTTCACCGGCCCTAGTGATTTTCAGCATCTCTAGACAAGCCGCATGTTCAATTTCGGCTGGAGAAGTATCGGGTTTATTTTTTGCACATTTTTTGATTGACTGTACTACGTAAACATGTGACGATCCTTTTAAATTTGATATCTTTCTAGCGAAGGTTTCTTAATAACTAAGTGATTAGATTTAATAATCTAAAACTTGTGGAATTGAAATAAAAAAAAGCCTCATTAGTAGTTATCGAGAAACTTTATTTAAAGTTTTTTTAAACTATTAAAAATCATGAAAAATATGGCTACGGTCATGATGGTTTTTAAAAATTTAATGATAATTCTCACTAACTGCTAAACAAAGTTCGATGAATAATTTTTTATTTAACAAGGTTCTTAGATATATTATAAGTGAGTTTTTTTAATTATATACATGATTCAATGATACTGTATATTAAGAAAGTTTGATTTATAATAAATCAGCACATGATTTTGTAATCAAGTTTGATAAACTCTATATGCGTTCATTCAGTTTTTGGATCAATATTAACTTGACTTCTGAAAATGTACTTTTCTTAGTATGCATGTTGTTAACACTGTTAATGTGTGATCTCAGGTTTGTGATTTAAAAAGATCTGACAGTGTTTCAATTGGTGTAATTCTTTGGAATTAATGATATCTGACGATTGACGAAACATTTCGTTAATGCATTTATGATTGACGAATTTACGAAACCTGTGACGATTGACGAAACCTATGACTATTAACAAAGCCTATTTGAACCTCTAGCATGAATACATTTTCTACACTTACCGCTTATTTTATGTAATTCAAATCATTGTAAAGATGTCTAAAGTGCATTTTCTCAACGAATAACCAGAATTAAAAAAGTGCGGTATAACTAGAGATGGAAAAATCGAGGTTTTTTTGAATCTACTGCGCAGCCTGCACAGCCCAGTCCCTAGAGCCTTTTACTAATTAGGTTTCGCGTTTATATATATAAAACATCTACTTCATATGTGTAAAGTTGGGCTCTCATCATTTTTAATTAATGCTCCAAGGTTAGTTTAAACGTCAGGTTTTGTTGTTTTGCGTTTTTTTTTTCCTCACTTTTTCTCTGCATATCGGTGAATTGATAATTCTGGTCAAGTTTGCAGATCATTTGGCCAGATCTAGAACAAAACAACTTTAAATGTGGTCAAATGATCTGCACGTTTGACCAGAATTATGAACGATGGATTCTATTAATCAGGTGATGCTGATCCGTTTTTCAACTGGGGTTAAATCGCCACCCAAAAAAATTTCAGATCATATGATTTAAAAAGATTGACCAATCAGAATTGATTTATAAATTGATTTTTGAAATTTTTGAAAATTTTTTTAAATTTCGATCAAAGATAGCACAACAACTACCTAAATAAATCCAATGAATTTTTTTTATTTTAATTCTACATGTCTGTAGATTTAAATAAAAAAATGTCATCGAATTTTATGAGGTGGTTGTTGAGAAAACTTCACCCAAAGTCTTGAAAATCCAGACGCAGCAGCTTCATATATAGGCGGGATAAATTTTCTCAAATTTTGAGCAAAGTTTTCCTTTATTTTAATTCTAGATGTTCTAATTAACGAGGAATAAAATATGAAATGATTTTGTTCAATTTCTATTTTTACTTCAACAAATTCTGATGTACTTATGGCTTCTAAAACTAAACGTTAAAAATATATTGAATTTTACACTACCTTGTTTTAGTTCAGCAATATGTACGAATTTTGATTGTAAAAAAATTAGACCACAATCTAAATTAATATCAAGCAAAGTTCATAGAATATAGCATCGAATATAGTTTATGAAGTCTTAGGATAGTTGCTAAATTATATACAATAAATATAAAATGCTAGTAATATATTAAATATGAACAAATAATGCAATGCTTAATAAATTTTTAAATTTTACACTCTGATTGTTTTATTGTATATAAATAAAATAGTTTATCAGTTTTATGTTTTTATTGTTTTATTGCAAGTATAAATAGTTTATCAGTTTATATTTTGATAAACTTTGAAGATATAAACTGTATAAAATTTTAAAATAGTTTAAATTTAACAAATGTAGAAATAGCATTACTAGTTCAAACAGCTTTTTTTCACTTACCCTTTTAATATCAATAGTGCTATTATGAATTTTCAAAATCGGAACTAGTACAGATGACTTATTACCTTATTGCTTATACCAAAAATTTTGTTACGAATAAAAAAAAGCAGAAATCTGAAATTTTTCGAATAACTTTGTTGAAGTCTAAAAAGTGAAACAGAAGTCAGAATTGTTGGTATTAGCATGGATTTTACTTTCTATTAGTTTACGATTAAAAGACAGTAATAATAAAAATATTTGCACAATTATCAATCGAAATCATTATTTCAATTATTGCAATGATTAAACATAACACTATTACAAGTTAATCACATAGAGAATACGTCAATTACACCTATTTGTTCATTACATTTGAAGTTTTTTTTTTAAAAAAAAAATAATTTCTAAATTATTATTGCAATCAGAATGTATTATTATTATGGTCTTTCCAAGTCTTTGGAAGTTGTCTTTGTCGTTTAAACCTATTATGATCCTCAACAAATTTGCGAATTGGTTCAAAATTTTTGTCAATATTATCAAGCCACTTAATTCCATTTGGGTTTGTCTCATTTTCTTCAAGAATTTTTTTTGCTGAATCAAATAGATTAAAAATTTCTTGTTTACGTTTCTTGAAGATTAGATCTTGATCACCACTATCTATTTCAACTGTATTTTCTTCAATTATATGGCCAATTTCTTGCTCTTGAATATGTGTTATTGAAGATTCTTGGCAATTAATTTGTCTGTTATAAATAATCAATTCACAAGTTGTAGAGTTTAGATTTTCAATTGCGATATACATATTTTTTGGTAAATCAGAGAAGGCATTTTCTTCTTTAACTGTTAGAAGAGGATAGGATTCTTGTCGGATAACCTAAAATTAAAGTTTAAATATATATATAATTCATTATTATAGTAATGATAGTAATAATACGTAACAGATCTTACTTTTTTAAAAAAACCAGGTTCAACAGGATTATGCATCTGCACTAAATGTTTACAAATATAGAACCGATTTAAAAGAAAACTTGAACAAGAACAAATCCACTGTGAGGAATTAGTAATACGATTAGGATTTTTATTATCAATTATTCGATCTGCTAATTTTTTCCATTCAGCTCGAAATTCCTCACGCCATTTTGTTATACAACGTTCATCACGTAGTAATTGCAATCGATCAATTTGTTGTGGAATAACTTTAGAAATGATAGTATAAATAATTAAATCCAGTCTTGCATAATTAAAGCTTGAAAAAAAATTATGTTTTAAAACTCGCCAATGACTTTCAATAGTCATAGTACTTCGTAGTATATTAATGTTTGTATTTGAACTAAGTGCCCAAAGCTTCCACATTTTAGGTTGATACCATTCATTCCACAGATATGCCCATACATTATAAAGATTATTTTTAGAACAAAAATTGAATTGTTCTTTAATGCATAAATTCCAAATTTGTTCTGCATTTAAAAACCCCATATTTTCTATAGGAATCTTAGGATGTCGTGAGAAGTGAATACAAACAAGTTGAAGAATATTTTCGCGAAATGTTTTTGACAAAAAACCTTATTTTTATCATTATTACATGCTTGTTCTTGATTTGTAAGATTAGACAATATATTATTTTGTGGCCAATTAGAATCAATAAATTAACATAAAGAATATGCTTCAGATGCGTCATAATTGTTATGTACAATTCCTGTACTAGAAAGCTTTTTTTTAATAGCTCGTAAGACATGCCAATAACATAACTGAACCTTCGCTTCTGTCCAAACTTTATTAATTGCATTAATTTGTCCTCGATCTTTATCAGATAAAAAAGTTTTAACTTTTTGAATACCACTATTTTTTAAATGATAAAACCATTTTGTTAATGCTTGTGTTTTGCCTTGTGGTGATTTTGGATCTAAAAAAAAATATGATAATGGAAATCCTGCACCATCGATAATTCCAAGAATTCCATATAGTTCAAATTTTAATTGATTTGTTCTATATGTAGCATCTACAACAATAGTATTCATAACATGATCGGGTAGCACAAATATTAAAGGAGTCATAAATGCTAACGAATATTCATCTCCAAAAAGAACTTGAAAGTTTACATGATTATTTAAAAATTGTTGTGCTGATTCTAATTGGTTATCAGCCAATTTGTATTCTTTCATAAAAATTTTTTGTACCCAATAATAGACTTGGTGTCGAGTAAGATGTAAATATCCAGGTATCTTTTCTTTTTTAATGTTTTCATAAAGCTGTGGAACAGTTAATATATGATTTTTAATAATATAGTTCCGAATTTGTAATGAAGTTTCTGTAGTTTCAGGTCTCAAATGAAGATAATGATAAATATTAATTGAAATTAGATTTTTTTTTCGATCAATATTTATTCTAATTGTACCTCCACAATCATAACACTGAATTCTAGCAGATGTATCACGTTGCTTTAAAATATTATCAACTCGAGGCTCTTTGTTTTTAAGTTCTTCTCGACTATTGCAATAATAGACAAATGCACTTGAACTTTTTGTTACTTCATGCTTATGATATATCCAAGTAAAGTGATCTGCCTTGGAAATTTTGTTAATTAAATATTGAGCGATCTCTTTATTTTCCTGTTCTTCTGAACTTGTATCAATAATATTCAATAACGGATCTAATGCGACAAAAAATCTTTTTTCAAACAAATAATCATCAGAGCAATAATCAGTTGGAAGTGCTTCAAATATATAATCCACAAGTACTTCTGGTGCTATTGCAACTTCCCGATTTAGTTCTACATTTTCTTTCTGTTTTTGGTCATTTTTAATATGCGCAGACAAAGAAATTTTAGTCCTACACTCAATACAGGTTTTTAGTTCTTTTGTTTTATTATTTTTTATAGATTTGAAAGCTTCATTTGGTTTATTAGTATAACAACGATTACACTCTTTCATGATAATAAAAGTTTTATTAAATAAAGCGAAAGTATAATCATATTAAGTAAATATATAATATATAAATGATGCAGATCATGTGTTACATGATCTAAAAAATTTCAGAAATCAATTTTATAAATCGATTCTGATTGGTTAATTTTGTGTAGATCATATGATCTGAAATTTTTTTAGATGGCGATTTATCCCTAGTAAAAAATGCCTGCGCAGTCTGCGTGGTTCCCATCTCTAGGTTTAACAAATAGTGTCATGTTTGTTATTAGGGCACATGATTTCGAGATCTCATTAGAGTGCATCTATTTTACTACACCAACTAAACTACCTTCTTCACTATGATGGCTTAATACTTTTAAATAGGATTTACATTCTACTTTCTTGAATAGTTTTTGAATTGGATGAGGATTATTACAACTTGATAAAGAAACCATGGTTTGATTAATAATTTTAGTTGTAACTCTAGGTTTTCCAGCACAATGACACAAATACATTTCATTTACTTCATATTCTTTATTCTCTCATCTATTATATTGAACATAATATGTTTTAGAAATATTGAGAAGATCATTTTTAATCCATTCTTCATATATACCCAACTCAAGATGAATATATATTTGAATATTATCATTTTGATCTTTATTTTTGTTTTTATCAACCTTATTAATAATATTAATTATATTAATTAGATCAAATTCACTATTCATAATAGTTTTTTCTAAAAAAAAAACTTTTAACATGTATTATAATAAGTTTGGTTTAAGGTAAAAATAAAAAAAAAATTTAGCTAATTCTAATCTAAAAACATTGCATTGTCATAATTGTTTTTTATATTTTTAAATATGTTAGTAAAGAAATATTTATTTATTCTTAAAATATTAGTTTGCATTGAAGTTTTTTTATTTTTTTTACAAAATTAGTATATATTTATAAAAACATTTATTGTATACATTTAGAATTGAATTAGTATTAGTATTCTTCAGATATTTATAAATAAAAATATATATAGAAATTATAAATAATAGTAAAATTGCTAACTTATAATATTGGCAGTTTTGGTAAATTAATTGTTATTAGTATTTAAATATGATACAATATAGTATTTTAGTAGTTTAATTATAGTATAATATTTAAATATGAGCTGTGTGGTTATGATGTAGCATTTTCATAATGCAGTTATATAGAATTTTACAAATATATAATCAATTATTAAAATTTATAAATAATATATTATTATTTATTTAATAAATTTACTAATTAATTACTAACAATTTATGATATTAAATAAGTAAACTTTATTAAAATTTTTTTAAGCATTTAACACTAATTTTTATTATTAAGATATTCATACTATATATATTTAGTATTTATGAACATAAATATTAGACATTAAAATTAATTGTATACAGTATATAATTAATTTTATATAAATTACATTTTATTAAATATATAACAATTCAAAAGAATAAATAAATAAAATCATGAAAGCAAATAAAACAATATGTAACTAATAAATGCAGCATTAATATGAATTAACTGTATATAAATTAAATATTATTATTAAATATTTGTTATTAAATTTATTCAAAAGATATAAATAGCATAGATAAATCATGAAAGCAAAAATACAAAAAATAAAAGCAAAAAATACAGAAAATGAAAGTTAAAAATAAAATATAGATAGAATCATAAAGAAACCAAACAAACTACTAAAAAGAAAATGTAGTTAAAATTATAAACACAAAAAAAAAAATTAAAATCTTAGTAAAAAAAATACAATAATATTTCAAATTATGGCAATTAAATAAATAATTTATTCAAAAAATTTAAATAATATTACAAATAAAAGATAATTATATATAAATAAAATAACTATAGAAAAAATATAGAAGTAAAGATTATGAAAGCAAAACAAAAAGCTAAGTATGTAAAAATCACAAAGATGAAAAAATAATAGCATAATTAAAAAATAAATTATAAATTATTTTTTTTTTTAGTATTAAGATAAGATCGTGCCCTTTAGTCTTTATTAGTATATTTGTTATAATTAGTACAAATTTATTATACATCATCTATTACTATATATCTATTTAAATATAGAACTTAGACATATTTATCTGTGATTTAGACCTACCAGAGTTTTATATTGTGTCCTACTTACACCTAACCTGGATTTTTGTTTTACTACTAATTATATTAGATAACTTACATATTTCTTTCATATCTTACAACCTATTTTTAACAACTTTCAAATTGGTTCACTAGGTCATTCACTTTTTTTGAGCTACTATCATTAGTTTGTCTAAAGGGTGCCTTTCTAGCATGTATCTCAAGCCAGGTTTATGCTGCCACTGCTAATTTTCCAATTCAGATACTAGTAACATGTATCTCAAGCTAGGTTCATGCTGCTGCTGCTAGTTTGCAATTCTTTTTGGTCTTAGTATTATTTCTAATAGATTGTGTATCTAACCTGCTTCTTAAATACTCCTTTTTATGATATAGATGAAACTCTATTTCAAGGATAAGTACACATCCTCTTTCAGCTATTGATTGATGTTTCCACTACTGTCACACCATGCTGCAGGTTTTTTTTTGTTCTGTTTTCAACTATAGACAATTTCTCTACTTTTTTAAGAACATCATAGTGAAATCGGGCGTTACGGCGAGTCAGTCGCTCCACAATCCAAAACTTCGTGTAACCTACGGTTGGCTTAGTCAAAAAGAGGCGTTTAGATTTGGTCGATGGTTTGGGTCCGTAGGTAAGTATTTCTTCTTCACTTGTCTTGCTTTTCTTTACTTGAGCTGTCTACTAACTTTAACCCTCAATTACCTCACTACTTCGGGTAATTGGACTATACGTATAACCTCAACTA